GCAGCTCTGCCTGGGACCCAGCCAGGCCTGCGGTCACACCTGCAGCCCACCCGGGTCTGGCAGCACCACCCGGGCCCAGGGGCTTCCTGGGCTCTGCCTGCGGATCTGCACCAGGCTGAGTCAGCTGCATCCATGCACAGAGCTGCGGTGCTGCACATGGGGCGAGTGTGCCATCTAGTGCTCCTGCATCCGCAACCCACACCCTGCGTCCCGCACCCTGCAACCCACCCAACCGTGCAGCGCAGACGCGCAGGGCCCCAGGTGAAGCTGCTGCACTGGCAAGGGCAGGACCTCGCATCGCCCACCTGCCCGCAGCAAACGATCACTCGTATCCCATCCCAGAGGAGTCAAAACCCCTTTTCCACCCCTTTAACAGATCAAGTGACCAAATGAATAGAGTACAGAAAATTAACCCTTTTTATTGATGCATTGCAATTGTTCTACATTTTACCATATTATGTAGAAAATACTTAAAATACAAGCTACTTTGTAAAACCAAAGACAAACATTGAATCCAAAGATAAACTATGTTTTCACAATGGACCCTTTTCCCATATAGTTAGTATTAAATTTTTAAATATCTATTTCTTTTGTTAAAATGATTTTTACATACCCCCTAAGTACATCAGCAATACAAACATAGATCAGTAATTGTCAGAAACTACCTGTATCTAGCGGCTTGTAAAAAGGAAGAGCACAACCATAAAAGAAAGTTAAATTTTACACAGTAACTAGCATATCAAATACATTTAATAAAGTAGGAATTCCATTGCAATATCAAGGATTCAAGCAGAAATACTAACATTACATATAATGTACTGCTACATGTAGTGAGATAGATATATTTCAAGCTGAATCTGAAATCACACATTATATAAAGTTTAGCAACAAACAACCATGTGGACATGCGGCACCATTCAGAAGTTTCAACAAAAAAGAAAGCAGGGCTGTGCCAATCCTGTCATTTAGAAGCAATTTAGTTTCGTGTCCTAAAGGAACCGGAGTCAGAGGTGAATCGCTGCGTCCCGCGGGCAGCGGCCGAGCTGGGAGCCTGGCGGGGGCCACGACGGCCGCGCACGCAGGGCAGGAACCGGGACCGTCCACAGCGCCACGGACACGGGTCCAGGCGCGACCGCAGTCACCGAGCATCCGCAAGGCCATCCCAAGCTGATTTTAGACCAACTAAAAAGAGGGCTCCTATTTCTCTCCAGAGATAACAAGTTTCTGTACAAACCGCGTGCAGCGGCTCCGGCAGCGAGGGGAGCCAATCCCGCCCCCAGCGCAGCCTGGACACACACAGGAAGGGATCATCTCCTCGGAGCAGCTACCACTCACCCGAACTGGGCAGACTGGGACGCGCCAGCGGGGAAACCTGGCCCTGCTGTGGTGGGGTTTGCCGGCTCGGTTTGTGCCGTGTATCCCAGAGGGATTTCAGGGCAATCGACAACGTTTTAATTGGAGTTGTGTCTAATTTTGCTGGTGTCATTTCCATCTCGTCCTCCTTGTTCCAATCTCTTTTGGAAGCTTGGACGGTGGAAGAGATGACACCGTGCTTCGTTCAATCATGTTGAAAGGACTCTAAAGATAAGTGGTCATTTTAATCTGCTTTTTTTGGGGGAAGCAGGCAAGCTCTTCTCAAAATAATCAGCAGGTTTTGCTAAAGGTCTTTTTTTTCCTGTTAGGGCTTCACGGGAAACACCTCACTATTTGTGAAACGGGGCATAGCTTTCCTGCAACACAGGAACTGGAGCTCGTTTTGCCTTTTGGTGGAAAGGCACAACTCTGTACCCAAGAGGTATCTCAAGGCAAGCACTGAACACAAGCAATGTAACATGGAAAAAAGCAAGAAAGTGCCTAGAGCAACAGACAGCATCGCCGAGAGCGGCGCTGCGCAACAGCGACACCGGCCGTCACCCGCACGGACGAGAGCTCCGGCACACCAACAGCGCCGCCAGTGCTACGGCCGGTTCAAAGCCCTCGATCCCTCTATCGACAGAGATGCCAAACCCTCGACAGGTCACCCCTCTCGGGTCACTCCAGACTGCTTTACCAAGAACGTGGATTTCCAGAAGTGACGTCCGCACTTCTCGTCACACGCGGTCAGACCGGGCTCTTTCCCACCGGGACTGAACACGAACTGGGATTCGGGTCACCAAAACCTCTTATTGCTGCAGTAACACGACCACTGGAGCCAGCTCATAGTCCACGGACAAGGTACCGAACCTACGCACTGAAGATGAGAAATAATTCCTCGTACAAGGGACCCACGAAACAAAGCGTAGTTCAAAAACTGCACGGATTATCCAAAATGAGTATTTCCTCTGAACACTAACTAGGGCCACAGCTGACAAACCTTCCCGACAACTCCACATTAGCAGTAGCATTATAAAACTTTGTAATGGTATTATGTGCTTTACAGCAGGCTCTCTTTGGTATAAATATTCTATTCACCAAGCTAGCAATATTTTACAAGAAATGTCTGCTATTAACGTGGGGGAAGGTAACGCCATACTAACCTAATAAAAAGTGATTGCACATATTTAATCACTTCTGCAATATTAGACTAAACATTCCAATGCATTCCCAGCACTACCTTATTCGAAATGCACTGACAGACAGCTAACAGTACATGTGCCGTGTCAAGGAAAAGCTTTAAGGAAACATCGCTTCACTCCGAACAAAAACGCAGCTTGTTATGATAGCATCAAAGCGAGGACGACGCAGCTACGCGACACCGCTGCTCTCGCTGTGTAAGCCGAGTGGATTGCTTCGATTCGACGGGGCTTGCTGGTCCCTCGTAAGGCAAGCTCACTGTAAACTCTAGTCACACTACATCATCAGTAAGGCACTACAAAAGGGGACACCAAACAACTCTTCATCACACACACCTGTGCAAAACACATCAGAAGGAATCCTCTCCTCGCGAAGCTCTGCTCCTCTCCGTGCTACAGTGATGAGCTCTAACCATTGCATTATGTCACATACATTCCAACACAAATCGATTCATTTTGGTTTAAATACAAAGGATACAACAACTCCATCCCCAGGAACGTTTAAGAATTAGACAAACACTAAGTACAGAGTTCAAGTATAATCACTACACATTTTGATTACAAAGACAGAACGTTTGGGGTTAGCAGGAAGTTTTGCTTGTTATATTTTTCTAATCAATATGTACATATTTCATTTTATGTAAAATATTAAAACACCACCAATACAAAACTTCTAAAATAGTTTTAAATTCAGTAATAAACTTTAAAATCTGGATTATTTTTTTTCCTTTTTTAGTTTCTTTTTTTTTTCCTTTTTTTTTTGTCTTCCCCGATTCCTACATGCATGGACCGTATACAAGTCTTATTAAGAGCGCTTTAGAGTAGCTGCTGACATATCCAGGAGGATACGCTCACAGGAGTATAAAAAGCTGTACACATCAATACGGTGATGTTTCATTGTATTTCAAATTCAACTCCTTCCTAAATGAATCATGTGAGGAAAAACATGAAGAAAAACAGAACAAAGAAAAGCCCTGTGCTTCTGTGAAGGAATCCAGCTCCGTTATTGGGCCAGCATCTAATACGCTGCAAACCCAAATTTGAGAGCAATGCTGCACTAGTCATCCTCAGCTGAAGACTGCAGCATCCTGGCACGGCTGCTGAGTTCTGTTACACAGTGAGATCTTGAGGACTTTGAAAAACTTAGACAAATTCTGCAATGAGTGCAATAAAAATTCAGCCGTGTTATGGAGACACAGAATTTTCAGGAAAACAAAACGGATTTCAGGGTTTACGTGGACTCCTGAATCCACAACGTTGCTGGTACGAGGCAGCTGCCCCTACCAGTCCTTAAACAAAGCAGAGAAGTAAACAGAAAACTTTGACAGCAACACGTGCGGAGATGTAATGGCGTTTGCAGAACCAGCAACCTGTTAGAGACAAAGCGAATTAAGGGACAAATGCCAAAATATTCAGCTTGATTTTAAAACTGCCCCAGCAACGTAATGAGATAAATGTGCACTACATTTTAGTGGCAACACGGATTTGTGCAAGCTGCTAAAATATCGTCTGCCAGTCTTTTTGTTTAAGTTACACAAGTTAAAAAAGTCATCAGGATCTGTCTTCCAAGACACAGATTTTCTTTGCCCTCCTGAATAGAACAACAGAACAATTTTAAATAAATGTGACCATGAACTTCTTAAAAGCATCTATAAAAAGTAAGTAAAATTTTAAAAACTCAATTAGTGACCCTCATACTGGTAACAAAGCACGCTGCTCGGGTAGTGACTGAACTCACTGGAGATGTTTTTGAACAACACACAGCCAGATCAAGGAGAAACAAAACCAGGCAGTCATTACCAGGCAAAGGTTCACCTGAAATCCTTCTCCAATCTCTCAGGCTTCACCGGGAACTACAAGTACGAGTACTGGTTGATCTTTGTGGGGCTCAGCGGGTATCCAGTGTAAATAGCAGATCCTCTGGAAGCACCGATATAGGACTGGGGAGCAAACTGGTGTTGGTACTGGGCAGGCGGGACGTTTGCGGAGGTCAGCAGGCTGGGACCGACGCTGACGGGGACCTGGTGGACCAGCGCGCTGGGGTGGGCAGTGT